TCCTGACCTTGACCAACAATCCAGTTCCCTTGAGTCTTTAACATTGATGCCCAATATCAGCAGGAAGAAGCCAGAGAGAACGATGCCCGCTTACCTAACACCCATCAATCTAGTAATAAAACAAACAAACAAAGAAAGGTGGGAATGAAGGGCTCTAGCAGGCCTGAGCATAGCAAACACCAACCGGCTTTGCCTTTTACCCTACTCCTCCTTGCTAACAAAATGGTTAGATGGCATTCCTAAAACCAGCCACAAAGGTCCGTTCCCTTATTTGGTCACAGACTGGTTCCTGAGACAAAACACCAAGGTCCAATAAACCAAATTCATTATTTGGCTAACACGTCCAATCAGGACCTACCAACTCATTTCACATCCAGTCAGGACCTACCAACTCATTCTAGCATAGACTTCCCCCTTTCTCCTCACAAACCCATTCCTGCAAAAAACCAAAACACGCGCTTGCTCGCTGCTACTGCTGCTGCTTGCTGTCTGCATTTGCAGGCCCCTCCCCACATCCCTCCAGGGTAATAAAATCTCCTTTGTCCTGAGAATTTGGTGTCTGGCTGTGTCCTGGACCAACAAGTGGGGAGAGGTGGGGTGGGAGGGGGTGGCGGGCGACCTCTCTTGTTGCACTCAGTATCCACTGTAAGCTGGATTTTGGTTGAAATTCAGCTCATCTCTAACTTCCATAAGCTCCACATTGATTGGAAGGTCATGATGCTCTTGGGATCCCCAGAAATCAACATCTATTCGGTGCCAGGGGCTAGTAGGCTCTCAAAGTTCTGATGATTTTCTCTGCCTTAAGCTGTTATCTTGGTAGAAGGCAGTAGGTTCTTTTTTTCTATTTAAGGAATGTAGCAGGATAATTTCTCAAAGGGGGTGACTTCCCGTCACTTGGAATTTCTAGTCCATAAAGGACTTAATTCTGGTATGGCGGTTAGAATAGGTTAAGGCTCACATAGACTCACATGTTTGGGTGGTTGGCCCATAGGGAGTGGCACTATTAGGAGGTGTGGCCTTGTTGGGGTAGGTGTGGCCTTGTTGGAGGAAGTGCGTCACTGTGGAGGCGGGCTTTGAAGTCTTATAAACTCTAGTCTAGCCAGGGTGACACAGTTGTTTCTGCTGCCTGCAGATCAAGATGTACAACTCTCAGCCCCTTCTTCAGCATGGTGCCCGCCTTCATGCTGCCAAATGAACTAAACATCCGAAACTGTAAGCCAGCCCCAATTAAATGGTTTCCTTTATAAGAGTTGCTGTGGTCATGGTGTCTCTGCACAGCAATAGAAACACTAAGACACCTGGCGGTGAAGGAGCATGTCTTTAATCCCACTACTTGGGAGGTAGGGGCAGGTGCATCTCTTCTGTGGAATATTATTTTACTAGGCAAAGATGTGTTATATTTGTTTCTGTTGCAGCATATTATTTTAACTGTGTAAAGGTGTGTTACATTTGTTTCTGCTGCATTTGCTTAATGATGTAAAGATGTGATACATTTGTTTCACCTTGCCTGACTAAGGTACCTGACTAATAAAGAGCTGAATGGCCAATAGCTGGGCAGAGGAAGGATGGGCAGGGCTAGCAGGCAGAGAGACTAAGTAGGAGGAGAAAGCTAGGCTCAAGAGAACCAGAGGAGGAGAGAATGAGGGTGGGAGGGAGGGAGGTGCCCTGGGTCAGAAGCCAGGCATAGAGAAGCAGTTAAAGTCAGATATACAGAGGAAAGGTAGTAAGCCCTAGACCAAAAAGTAGATAAAGAGAAACATGTTGTTATTAAAAGAGCTAGCCAGAAATGAGCTTACGCTGGAATAGGTATTCAAAACTGTGCATGATTTGGGGAACTGGTTGGTGGCCCAAAAAGCAAAAACCTGGTACACATCTCTGTGAGTTCCAGGCCAGCGTGGTCTACAGAGTGAGTTCCAAGAGAACCACAATCAGGGCTACACAGTGAAACTCTATCCCCTGCTCCCTACCCCCAAATGTCTTGAGTTTGGAAATTGGTTGTGGGGCCATGATGTTGCTATAATTTATGGTAGCTTTGGTTCACTTGCTTTGGAATTTTTCCTGCCTATACAGGTCTAGCATGGATTTTGTAGATTCCCACTGTGTCATCTTGAGGACACCATGATCAGTAAGCAGTTAGAACATTGTGATCACTGAATGGCCTCTGCTGCCAGTACAACAGGAAGTCTGCCACCTTACCCTTGGCCATCCAGAGCTGCTATTTGGCCCTGGCTACTCTGGGCTCCATTTCACTACGTTACCTGATAGAGCAGCTACAGTTCCCTGGCATACAGGGAAGGACAATGGCAGAGCTCAAGTGTGCTGGTGCTTGCTTGCAGGTCATCCCTCCTGTGGCAGCGCCTTTTACCCGCAAATGCATTCCAGCATTCCAGTTTCTCTGTCCACCTTTGATGGGCTTTTTTCCTTATTTAAAGAAAGTTTCTCTTGTTTTTTGTGTGGGGGGGGGGGGGGGGCCACACATGCCACAATGTGTGTGTGTGTGTGTGTGTGTGTGTGTGTGTGTGTGTGTGTGTGTGTCGGTGAAGCCAAAGGATACCAGCATTTCCAGCTTATTTACAGAGGTGTTTGGATCTATACTCTAAATATAGTTGAGCCATCAAATAAAGATTATTGGCACCTTGGTTTTTGTTTGTTTGTTTTGTTTTGAGACAGTCTCTCTACATGGCCTGGCCTGCCCTGGAACTCACTCTAGACCACAGTGGCCTTGAACTCATAGAGATCCACCCACCTCTGCCTCCCAAGCACTGGCATTAAAGGCATGTGCCACACACCCAGAGGCATCTTGTTTTGTTTTTTTAAACTGAGGGACCTTAACATTAAACTCAGACTCAGCTCAATGAAGCTATGATGATAAATCTAGCCTGATACAATTTTATGTTCCTTCCACCATTATCCCACACCCCTAAAATCTTTCCTATGCATGCTCCCCAGAGCTCAAAAATTCTTTAGTGGTGTAGTGTGCCTCTATATGGCTCACACTGTACATCACACTGTACCACACTGTACCTCACACTGACATGGGCAGTGTCAGCTGATGAAGACAGGGGCCTGTATTAGTCAGGGTTCTAGAGTCACAGAACTTATGGAATGAATCTTCCCCCACCCCCACGGGAATTTATTGGAATGACTTACAGGCTGCAGTCCAACAATGGCTAGCTGTGAATGAAAAGTTCAAGAATCCACATGCTCCTCAGTGAGGGAGTCCTGAGGTTGGCCTGATCTGACCTAGACTCAGCCACCACCATCCTGTTTTGGGGCCCTGAGCTGGCCCATCTGGAGTGTCCACTACAGCCATCCTTCTTTTGAGGCTTCCTTTTTGGGTCCTATCTTTTTAGTGTGCTATTTTTGGGAACCCATTGACTGGTCCTTCTTAGAGCTAACCTCCTGCCTACCACCAGTGCCCAAATCTGTGCTAGGTAGGGTTCTTCAGAGGGGCAGAACTAGCATAATGTAGGTATAAGATTTGCTAGATTAGCTTGCGCTTAAGGGCTGTGTGGCCCTGCAGCAGTCACTTGCATACTGGAGCTCGCAGATCACAGACCTGGAAGCCTCTAGTCCCAGTCTAGTCAGTGCCAGGGCCTGGAGCTCCCTGGGGAGCTGTAGATACAGTCCACAATAGGTTACGAAGCTGGAGTCTGAGGGCAGGGATGAACTGCCTTCCCTCAGATCCTTGTATCTGGCTGCCCCTTGGAAGCTGTGGTCCCGTGAGGGCATGCCTTCATCTGTAAATCTTCTCTGGAAGCATCCTCATAGACATGCCCAGATGGTGTCTTCTGGGTGATTTCAAAAAACTTAGGTTGACAATTGATAACAACCATCACAGGTATGAAGCGCCTCCCAGGGACTCGAAATTGCCTCCTTGGCCCCACAGCTGGTGGCACTGTTTAGAGAGGTTCTGGCAATGTGGAGGCAGAACCTAGCTGCTGGAAGCAATAGCTGCTGAGGTATAGCTTGTCTACAAGAAAAGTAATACTCATTAATAACCAGGAATGTATACCTCAAAAGTGGGAAGAGGTCTGTCCACACTCAGCAGACATGGGCTGTGTCACCTGATCAAGACACAAGGAACAGGAACTAAACCCTGGGTGGCGAGACTGTCAAAGCCACATGGCAAAGCATTTACTACCTCAGGTGGCTTGGATCAAGTATGGGCTCTGAGGTTGTGATGAATCGTGTATCCTGTGGGAATGAAGCGCTGTGATCTTCAGTCCGTTTGTGGAAGAAAAGCAGCCAGTCCTCAACTGACCTGTCAGAAAAACTTCCCAAATTTGTGCAAGTTTTAGGACTATTTGGTGTCATGTCCAACACCATAGCCAAGCCTGCATGCTACCACAGAGGACACACGAGATCACAGGTTTCTCTGGAGTCAACAGGTTTTTGAAGACATTCTTTTGTATGTATGTGTGAGGGGGTATGTGCCGCCGAGTGATGTGATGTGGAGGTCTCTCCTTCCATCTTGTGGGGCCTGGAGATCAAACTAAGATCGTCAGGCTTGGCAGCAAGTACCTTTACCTGCTGAGCACCTCACAGGCCCTTTTTAATTTATTCCTTAAAGCTTTGAAAGTCTAAGCAGGCTCTGCTGTTCAGTTTTGAAACATTCATGAGGGCCATTCTACAGACAACAAAGCAAACACTTAATTGGTTTTTAAGTTTTTTTCTTTCTTTTTTTTTTTTTAGTCACCTCTTGCTGGGTGGGTCGGTCAGTTGGTCTCAAACTCACAATCCTGCTTTGGTCCCCCAAAATCTGTGATTACAGCTATGTGCACTGTGCCCACCTTGACCAGGTATTTTTTTTTTTAAACTTTTTCAATGTTGAGTGTTATTTTTCCCATTGGTTGTATGGGAGGTTAGTATGATTTCCATCTCTCTGATTCCTTTAGTTATGAAAAATAGTTTTACGGTGAAGCTCTGAGAAATTTCATTATGTGATGTTATAAGAGAATAATTGGATCATAGAGTTCTGTTTGATTAGCAGATGGAGAGAGGGCTGAACAGGATTTTATTTAATAAAAGTGTAATAAGAGTATATTGTTTTTCTACATCAATAAGTTTGAACACATACATTCCTAGCAGTTCCTAGAGAGAGCCTCACAACCGCAGACATGCCTTACAGCGTTTACAAAGTATTGCTCATCAGAGTGAGAAAGCTGCAACAGTCCAAACATCCATCAAAGGGAGAGTAAACAGGATCATGGTGTGTTTGTATAATACAGTAGAAAACAATACAGCCGTGGAAATGAGTTAGAACCATACATATTAATATGCATGAATTATAAAAATAGAGAATTTTAAAACCACGGGATATATATGATTTCATTTATACAAAGCTCAAAAATAGGCATATGCAGGTGACAAAATCATTAAAAAAAAAACCCAAAGGGACAATGTACAGGAACTTTAAGATGGTGGTTCCCCTTCTGGTGGAAGGAAGAGGTAGTGATGGGGGAGGGGCCTAGACATGTTCTCCAGGCCTGTTATTTAAGCTGAGTGGGAGGTACAGAGTGTTACTCATTTTATTATCCTTTAAACGGTTCATACAATTATATCAAACCCCCCCCCCCCCCAGTTTTCAAACAGCGCTGGGCTGAACTCCTGGCTTTGTAAGTATCAGGTAAATGCTCTGCCACTTGCTACCCTGGGAGCTACACGCCCAGCCCTAAATTCTATTGTATACATCATTCAAAATCAAGGTGATTTGCAAAATAGTGACTGGGACATAGATAAGAGTTGGCAGATTTTGGTTGTGGAGATGGAGAGGTTTCCCTTTGTCATAGCAGGACTCAAGGGGACATTGTAGAGGAAATCCTCTATGCCACCTGCTGGTAGGAAAGAGGGGTGAGAAGTGGGAGTGATGGAGAGACAAAGCCTGGTGAGGTGTGTGTGTGGGAGCATCTGATCAAAGTAGGGAGCACCTCCCATGGAAGCTCCCATGGAAGCAGTGTCTCTGGAGACAAATTTAGTGAGTCTGTAGATTGAGAGATGAGAGGCCAATTAACCTGACATTTTTTTTACTGAGGCATCAGTGAGGGTCTCAATTGATATGTGAAGGGAACATGTTGGAGCCACAAGGAGGGAGAAGGCATGAGGGGCCTCCAACTGGGAAGCTGACTTCCAAGGGGCCAAGAGCAGGCCATGGTGCAGTGTTGAGTGCCCCTGCTTTGTGGATAGAAACATAAGGCTAACCCAGCACACACAGTGGTAGCTGGACTCTGGCAGAGTCTAGATCCCAGTTGGGCTAGTGATCCAGATAATTTAAATAAAGGGGCACTGAAGTGGCAGAGGGATCTGAGGAGGAAATGACTTAGTTGCTGGCCATGGATTTGGTTTGAGTGAAAGGAAAAATAGGTTTGGGTGGGTTAAGGGAGATGTTAGTGCTAGGTTTAATGGCTTTGGGATCTTGCAAAGGCCAATGACTTCTAGTGGTGCAATGGACCAGGGTAAGCCTAAAGTTAATGGTCAGAAATGCTTGGAATGAAGATTCCAGAAGTGATCAGGCATGGCTCATGCCTTTAATCCCAGCACTTGGGAGGCAGAGGCAGGTGAATCTCTTGAGTTCAAGATCAGCCTTGTCTACAAAGTGAGTTCCAGGTCAGCCAGGGCCACACAGAGAAAACCTGTCCTGAAGAAACAAAAGATACCAGAAGTGGTTTAGACCATTCAGTTCAGGGTTGAAGTGACAGAGAGGGACTGGGACAATGACAGTGGTTATTAACTGGGGATGGATGGTGAAACTTGTGTCTGTAGAATAATGACCTGTGTGGATGTAGTCACTGAGAATGAAGACAAGAAAAGGCTGAGAGGAAGACAGAAAGATCAGAAGCGTGTGAAGCAGCAGGTGGCATCTGGCAAAACTGGACAGCTCAGATCCAGCTGGCTGGAAGCTCTGTAGTGGAAAAATGACTGAAGCAGAAACGAACACAAAGGTTTAGAGGGCAGGGTGTGGCTGAGATGCTTCTTGAAATACACCAAGTGTCACCCACTAAGGCATTTTTGCCTGCCACATTAGAAGTGTCAGAGGGGACAGTAAGAATGAACAGCTAGCAAATGAGCTATGTGCAGGGTCCCTGGGGATGAAGGTCTGAGCAGTTTGCGTCTTTAGTAATGACATAAACATGGATTGCTAATTGATGGAGGTGGCCTTTGGATAAAATTGCCCAGCCTTAGCCAGTGGACTTGGGGTTTTTAGACCATTCTCTCCCAAGTGCTCAGGTTTGTTTTATTTTGTGGTTAACTTGAGAAATCCTGTCTCTACCTCTACTGAATTTTGTAGGGGAACCAATGACTAAGTCCTCCAATGGGTCACCTGTCCAGGCTGTTGTGTGATTGCAGGCTAATTGCCTCTCTACTAATTAAGTGTCCTAGGGCAGCCCCAAACACATCAGAGGTAAAACAAAATGATTTTGCTATTTATTATCTTCAGTCTAAGAGGTATGTATGTATGAATGCATACATACTAGGGTACTCCTGTGGTGTCTGTTCACTGATGCTGGCAGACGAGGAAGGTTTGTTTTCTACACTTGATTATGGCCAAGTCTGGCAGCTCTGCTTCCTCAGGCCATATTCCAGCTTTGCCACTGTAAAATTCCATCTCTTATTTGAGGGAGAAGGGCAGGCCACCTACACTGCCCCCCACCAGGTGTTTTGCCTGCATGTATGTCTGTGTACCATGTGACGTCAAAGAGGCAGAAGAGGACTTCTGATCCCTGGGACTGGAGTTACAGGAACCCAGGTCCTCTGGAAGGGTAGCCAATGCTCCTAACTGCTCCTAACATTCACCTCGAAACTGCCTTTCATTTGTTATTCTCATCACACATGTATGACAATACACGTGTATTGGGACAGTCAAGCAATCTGCATTCAAGGCTTTGAGGAATCTGGCTTAGCACTCTGGGTACCTGTATCCAAGTCCTCTGACTCACAGAGGTTCCAAGGGTAGCCTGAGATCCAGTGAGGGTGTCAGAAGCAGATGAAGGCTGTCCTGAGACTAACTCCACTGCCTGCCTGTGAGTCTGGGATTCCATAGAAGACAAGTCTTCCTATACCTGGGAGTGCTCCCCAGTGTGGAAAAGGCTTTGAAATGGCAGCCCTCAACAGCATGGGAGGGGGTCACTCTCAAGTGGGACTATGAATTCTTCTAAGCCAGGGCAGGGCTGCAAAGCTGAGGCTCATCTGGTCTTTGGAAATAAACAGGTCCCTGAACCAGTAGAGTGGTGGCTTCTACCATTTCTTTAGTGTTACTTTGGTTTGGACAGGAAGGAAATTGCTCAGATGTGCTGATTGAGTCAAGGTGTGTTGAGAATGCTCAGCAGTTCTCTGTTGTGGAATATTTGTTTAACTAGGCAAAGGTGTGTTGCATTTTTTGTGCTGCATTTGTTTAACTATGTAAAGATGTGTTGCATTTGCATTACTTAAATAAAATTAACCTGGACTCAGAGAGGCGGAGTTAGCAACTAGCTGACAGGAAGTAGCAGAACACGTTTTTTTTTAGTTGGGGCAGTGTGGAAGGAGAGGGGCTTCCAGGGCACCAGCAGAGAGAGAAAGCCAGTTGCTACTCTATCTGAGCTTGCAGGTTTTTGCCCTAACCTTTGAGTCTCAAGTTTTATTAGAATGATAGAGATTTAGTTAATGCTGCCTTTAGCGGCATCAGCAGAGCAAGTGTCTGAGGGAACAGAATCCTCCCAGGTTATGGCCTGAGCAGCAGGGCCACTGGTAGTTTTAAAGTGCAGCCACTGTGACAAAGGTTGTTTTCTATCAGTAAGAATGTTAAGTAGCTGTTTGCTACTAATTTACCTTTTAGAAAGTATAGAAAGTCATTAACCTTCCTTAGCACAGACTTCTAGAAAGTTAGAGCAAGGCCAGTACACAGGTTAAATTTAGGGACAATTAAAAACTGATAGCTGTTCCCTAATATCATTGGCATTTCTTTGTTTGTTTAAATAGAGAGGACTTTTAAGTTATTTAGCAGATCTGAGTCTGTTAGGAAATTAAGGTAAGAGTCCTATTTTGTATCCCTGAGGTGAGAACAGCTTAGTTACAGTATATCACTCTTATTTGGCAGAGTGGACAAATATGATCTTGGTAGAGCCTAAAAACTATTAATTTACTTGATAATATTTAATTTGAGGGGAAACGTTTCAATTAGGGTAGGAAAACATTGCGCTAGGTACAAAAGGCCAATGGAGGTGAAAGGCAAAGGTTCAGGTTAGAAGTACCAAGCAGAAGAGGTTGATGGCAAATAAGGAACATAAGCAAGCAGGCTCCTGCTTAATTGCTGAAAGGGGATTGGGAAAGCCTTCCAGTCGGCCCACTCTGCCGCCACTCTCCAGAAACAAAAGTAATTACCGTTTGAGTAAGGGAAGCTGTGAATACAAGGAGGACAGGGTATGGAAGGGGCTGGCCGAGTTCCTGCAGAGCAGATGGGATTCCTGGATTTTACCAAAAAAAACCCTTCCCAGAGCAAATACAGAACAGCACTGTCTCTTAGAGGTCAGAAAGAACTATAAAACATTTCTTATAAAAGTAGTTTTTAATAAATCGATGTATTTCAATGTTGTAACATGATAACCCAAATGCTATATCAAGGTAGCAAAAGTGAAGGTTCCTGGTGTTTTAGAAACGCTGTGAATGACAGTACACTTGCATTCAACTTCACAAGAAATTCTTTTCAGGTCCATAAAGATTCACTGACAGCTGTCCCACCTGTTGACAGTGGAGATGTGTGTATAAGACTGAGCAGACAATGAAAGTCTAACAATGGAGCTACACTCTCAAATCATACTGACAAGAACCGCATGTAAAGGCAGGATGGCCAACTGCTGACAGAGACTTTCAAAAATTAGCCATTTAAAGCAAACTTAGCATATACCAAAGCTATAGGAAATGTAGAATGGAGCCATAGACGACACATGGGTTAGAGCCCTGAAGCAGTGACTGTGTTTCTACCCGTCTTGTGATAGAAGCAGCCATGGAAACAGAGTTCTGCAGCTGTCTGTGGTGCCTAGTCTCCACACACACACAACGCTATCAATGGACTAACCCTGGAATCCCTGCTCTGTAAGATGCTGGTGATGGGTAGGTTGCTATTGCTGTGAGTCAGAGCAATAGTTGGCTGGAGTTCAGGCCTGGAGGTGTTCTAGGACAATCACCACCTCTACAGCCCTGTGTTACACTTCTAAAGCTGATGTCCCAGTGAGGGTTAAAAATCCAAGCATATTTAAAATGAGTACCAGAAACCAGCTGTCTGATCTGTTACTGCTGTTACCGTTCAACCTACCAGGAGAAATGGTTTCACCTGGTTACAACTAAAGACGCTGTGTCCGACTCCATGTATTCATTACCAGAGTTTTGACTTGGAATTTTCTTCTTATGAGTTCTGGTTCAGAACAAAATTGCTTTCTTCCAAGGGCAAGAAAAGCAAAATTAATTAAACCCATTCTTAATTTGCACTGTAGAGAAGGTCCTCACTAAATGAGATTTTCTTTCTCTTTCAACCTCAAGTACACTAGACTGCAAGGAATCTCATGTCCAGAATTTGATTTGCTGACTTTCCGAGAACTGGTGCGGGCACTGTTATTTTCCCAGATCTTTATATACTTCAATCTTCAAACACTACAGATAGACGTGAGAACAGCAAGTCGCTTGTGTATTGAGCTGCTGAGATCTGCGTGAGCAGAGGAGCTGTTTCTAGCTATTTACCCAGACATGTCTGAGGGGCCATTTTTCTCTTGGGTCAATAGCAGATTCAAAACATTTATATCTCAATGACTTAGAAATACTTCCATCCATGTTATTAATTAAAAACAAAAACAAAAAAAACCCAAGTCAACTGCACCAAGCATTTCCTACTAAACTAGGCTTGAGGGCTAGGGCTCTTCTTTTAGAGAACAACCTCCTGGAGAGCATTAGTGTTTTGTCCTAAGTCTCATTTTCAGACCTGAACCAAGTCAACTCTTTGTAAAGACCGAATATTCTGTCTTGCTTCACGGTTCCTGATACAAAGGCTCTGCCTCCCCCCCCCCCCCCCCCCAATGGAGCAGAGTAACTTGCAACGGCTTTCCTCTCTGGAAACAGAACAGTCAAACAGCACAAAGTGGCTTCATTTTCCTCAGGCCAGTGTTTATAACCCAAGGTTTACTGTCCCTAAGGAGGGTGTGCTTACGTTAAGTATCAATCAAAATCAGCTCATGGAAAAGTTAAAGACGTAATTTACTTAAAGATATGTATCTTCGCATAGAGAACTGTGACTTTCATACTAATGAAGTATGTAAGCTGCAGTCAGTACCTTGGATGTTTCTATGCTGCACCCACTACTTTACACAGGACACTCACTCTTAAGGCAGAACATTGATTGTGACAATGAAATGATTGGTTCTTACATCCAAGGGTCACCTGGGGGTAGACTCTAGCAGACAACTTTCTTACTAAAGAAGACTTAGCTGTATCGAAAACTTCATTCCTAAGATTATGTTATGTAAGAGACACACATTTGAGAACATAAAAAGATGAATCAGACACACAAAAATATGATTTTCCAACGGGAGATCAGTGAAAATAGAATTTCTATTATGAGGCGAAACTACTCTCATCATGAACTAATAAACTCCAATAAACCATTTCTGATATGGTGTACACAAAGTATTAAACATTAAAGAATTACCTTTGGGGGGGTGTTTCTTTAGACTCTAGTTTTCAACGTCTAGTACAAAAGGTAGCCTGGCTAGTTAAAAAAGCAGTTTACTGTCAGTTTGTACTGCTGCTCAGGAAGCTAGGTTAGGACACTCCTACCCCACCAAAAACATCCTGTGCAGGGAGGAGTTTAGTATATATTCAAATAAAAATGAAGCCCCTGCCCCAACACATGTGCAAAAACACTTGTCAGTTATAAGAATAACTTCCATGAAAACATCTTCACTATAGAATTGAGGCATGAAGCCAGGCAGATACAAGAGCACCACCCTGCTGAGGGGGGCATATTTGGGATGAAACCAGTGGCTCCACGGGCACCTAGGAAAATGTGCTACTTAGAATCGGAAGGGAGTGGAGAGGAACTGACCCAGGGCCCCAAGCCCTCGGGCTGTTTGTGCGCTCCTTCATGCCAAGCCGGTTTGGATCCCTGTATCTGGGGCCAGAAATGGTAACCAAACAAATACAAATCTAATGCACAGCTCTTAAGCAGGTGATGGGAATCATAACTCTGTAATTACCTCTTCATGTGCCTACTTTTTATGCTGGAGCTCTGGCAATTTTCAGGATGTATATAAAGATGACCTGCCTAACTTTTGAAGATGAAGATTTTCTTCTTTCATGGTGGTAGAAGTCCATGCAAGACTTGTAAACAGTGATACAAAATACTGTAAACGTAATTTAACAGAGCTCATATAAAACACAGGAAGTGAATCCAAATTTACAAAAAAAAAAAAAAAAAAAAAAAAAAAAAAAAAAAAAAAAGAGGGCAGCTTCATATAAAGTTTTCCCTCCTGCGCCAAGTGAATTTTCTTCTTCTTCTTCTTTTTTTTTTTTTGTTTTTGTTTTTGATTACAAATATAATCCTGAGCTGAAAAACTGGGATTTGGGGGAGAGCCATCTTTGCATACAAAATATCCAAAGGACATTTACTCTATTTTCTTTTCTCTAGTACTATTCAGAGACAGTTCTGAAGGTGTGACTTTGGAGATGCTCATAGTTTAGTGTGACGCCCAGTTCTGGCAGCAGCTGCAGGACTTGCCATGGCTGCGGATGCGGCTGCGTCCTCTGCTTCTTCCAGCTCATCCTGGAGCTCTTGGCTGACACTAGACTGCAGTGCGGCTGGAGTGAGCCACTCCTTTGGGAGGCAGCTCTGTAGGAAGGGTATACAGGAGCTGAAGTAGGCCAGTCGGTTGATCCAGCGAGGAATCTCTTTCCCACAAAGAATCTAAGGGGGGAGAAGAGGTTAATGCTGACTGTCTTGCTAAGGGGTGGGTGGCTGTAAGAGAAAATATAGTGCAGACCAGCTTGTGGTGTTTCCGCTCTAGGCTGCTGACAGATAAGCAGAGCCTTCACTCAGGACCCCTGACCCTCCTGAAACCCCTTTACTTTCAGCTGTGTATTTTTTTTTTTTTACAGTTGTGAAATCAAGCTAATTCTGCTCAGCTTTTGTCTGTCTTGGATCCTTGAACTACTCTGAAACACATAAAATTACTGTGAACAGTATACAGAAGAAAAAGGCTTGTTAGCACAAGATGTTACTAGAGTAAGAGAAGCAAGCCTCTTGGGTATTTTTGTCAAATCTTTTTCCAGGTTCTTTTCTGCTCTCCCAATTTCTACCATCCCACTCTGCCCTGGGTGCATTCTATGCCTCTGCATTCAACCATGACCCATTTGTTTCAAGGACGCTCAGATGGTTCAGAAAGAAGTGTCCCCAAATGAAGACTAGCTCCATGATAACTGGCAGAGGAACTTTCATGGTGGAAGTTCCACCCAAGCCCCCATTATCTCCCTCCAAGCCCTGCTGAATCTCAGAAAGCCCGCCAAATGGTGACCTTTCCTTCTGAGGAGCTGGAAGGCCATTGGAAAGTGATGTATCAATTAAATGTGGGCTTTTCTAACTCAGTTTGATTTGGTATGATTTGGATTGCTGCATCAGCAGAGAGGCTTATGGGGTGTAGAAACTTTTCAGGGACAGTGGTCAGAACAAGGCATGGAGGCCTGGCTAGGCTTCAGCCTAGAGACTTTAGTGGACAGAAGTAGGTGTCAACTGGGATTCTTCTTGGCTGATGACCTGCTGCGCTTCTCTGCCCACTGCCCATTCTTAGAGTACTTAGGACTGGAAATCTTCTGCCTACTTCAGATAGTGAGATGCAGCTCAAAATCATGGTGACTTTACCCTGTATCTCACCTTGAAGAAGGCTTCCAAGTTTCTTACACTAAAGTAGTTAACATTTAGAAAGCTAGCAGGTGTGCAATACTTTCCCCTAAGAATTCACAGCAGCATTTCTTAATCCCTTTTCTATCTTAGCTAAAAGGAAAATGAGGTGGCTTCATTAAGGACAGGTAGTGTACTCTGACCATTTGATTACCCATCATCTATCACAGTGCCTAAGAGCAGAGGGAGGCAGGTGGGTACTTAAATATGTTTAAAGAATATTTATGTGGGCACGAGTTGGGAGAAAGCTGAGCAATGAACTCACTAGATACGGTTCCCATCTGTTTATGCACTAGCAAACACTGTGTCTTACATTTGAAATAGACCCAGGAGTATCTGCATATATGTGAACCACATAAGAAATAGTTAAGAAAACTCAAGTTAACATGACAGACACTGCTGCCCATTACACAATCTCCTTCTCAAATTCTGGTTCTATTCAGCAATCTGTTGTCTTCTATTTGTGTTTCAGGAACGCTGACTTCGCCCCAGTTCTTAGGGTTGGGAAGACTGACCAACCTAAAACAGAGTCTGTGATAATCAGCTACCTGCATCTATAGATATGAGTTATGCTGGGATACAGCCATATCTATTTAATTACTGCCTATGCCTCTTGGTTACAATGAGAAGAGGCAGAGCTAAGGTCATGAATGGCTCACAAGCTTAAAGCACCCACTAGCTGTCTCTTTATAAAAAGTTTACCAGTTCTTGAGTTTGTTTGTTTGTTTTTTAAATTTGTTTTAAAGAATGTTATTTTATGCATGAGTGCTTTAACAGCCCGAACATCTGTATGCCATGTATATACAAGAGGGGTTCAGATCCCTAAAACTCGGAGTCAAAACCCATTAATAGGGCGGCGATGCACACCTTTAATCCCAGTGCTCAGGAGACAAAACAACAACAACAAAAACAAACAACCCCCCCCAAACCATTAGTATGTTATTCAGCATTGTAACTACAATTTTTTTTTAAATGAAATAAACCACTAGTAGTGAGGTAACTGTGAAACTTGTCTTCAAATACATCCGTGTAAACGGGGACATATTATTTTTTCCTATGGCTATTTACCAAATAGTATTTGGTTTATATGGTATGAAGGGTAATATTGTCAACTGAACCAACCACCAAATAGATAATGCTCTGGGCAGGTCTGTGAGGATGATCTAGGTTAGATCTTTGAGGTGAGGAGACATACCCTAAAAGACGACAACACTATTCATGGGCCGGGGTCCCAGATAGTGCACAAAAAGGAGAAAGGAAACTCAGCACCAGGTTTATCACTCTGCTTCCTGACTGTAGATGCAGGGAAAGCATGGCTCCTGATGCCATGACAAACCTCCCTTTAACTATAAGCCACAATAATCTCTCCCTTGTTTTCTTTTTGTAACTTTTCTTCCCCAAATCTGTCCCTCTCTCTTTGAAATTTATTTATCCTCCCCCCCCCCCCAAGACAGGGTTTCTCTGTGGCTTTGGAGGCTGTCCTGGAACTAGCTCTTGTAGACCAGGCTGGTCTCAAAATCACAAAAATCCACCTGCCTCTGCCTCTCGATTGCTGGGATTAAAGGTGTGCTCCACCAATGCCAGACTCAAAGTTACGACTTACAAGTATTAAGTTTGGGTACCAACTCGACAAGGAGAACTATTGTCAACTTTATAAGACTGAGGATAAACAAACAGATAACCTCTGGGCATGTCAGTGAGGGATTTATGTGGGTTAGGTTACTGAATGAGTTGGAGTCCTGGATACCCATTTCTCTGTTTCCTGACTGAGGATACAATGTAGTCAGTAGCCCCAGGCTCCTGCTGCCATGCCTTCCGAGCAATGATGGACTGATGTGTGATGTCCTTCTGTACGCTGGAATATGTTTTTATTGGTTGATGAACAAAGCTGCTTTGGCCTATGGCAGGGTAGAATATCGATAGGCGGGAAATACACACAGAGATAGAGGAAGAAAGAAGACGGAGTTGAGGGAAGATGCAGCTGGCGAGGAAGCAAGACATGTAAAAAGTGAGGTAATGCCATGACCACATGGCAATACATAGATTAGTAGAAATGGCTTAACTGAAATGTAAGAGCCATTGCCCAAACAATTATAACTAATATTAAGACTCTGAGTGATTATTTGGGGGTTGCTGGCAGGACAGTAACTTCTGCTTATAATGGACTTCCTATAAATCAAAATAAATACTAACATTTGTTTCTTTTTTTGAGGTAGGGTTTCTCTATACAGTCTTGGAACTCACTCTATAGATCAGGCTGGTCTCAAACACACAGATACCTACGTGACTCTGCCTCCTGAAACTATTCTCATTATTTATTTATTCGTTTGTTTATTACTTTTTTTGATTTTTTGAGACAGGGCTTCTCTGTGTAGCTTTGGAGGCTGTCCTGGGACTTGCTCTGTAGGCCAGGCTGGCCTCGAACTCAGAGATCCGCCTGCCTCTGCCTCCACCTCCCAAGTGCTAGGATTAAAGGTGTGCGCCACCACTCTTACTTTCTAAAGTTATATCTGTCATAGCAACAAATAACTAATGAACACAAAAGAATCATCTTGTTTTCAAACGCAAATCCAGCAATGCTTTTAGGAATCTCAGTGATATTGATGAAAAAATATGAAGAGGTATGTACAGGAGTATTTATTATAATATTTTGAATGATATCAAAAAGACTAGACTAACTTAAGGACCAGCAACAAGAAACTAGTTCAATTTTATACTGTCACATGAAGACTGTCAGCTGCGAAATGAAAAGCATCGTTATATATTGCTTCAGAATGAACTCTAGAACATAAACAGGTCCCCTTATCTGTGATTTTACTGCTGAAATTTGTTATAATTAGTCCACTTTAGTCTAAAAAATGCTTTTAAGAAAGACTACATCAAGCCTTTAATGCCTACATTTGTGAGGCAGAGGCAGAGAGCCCGGCAATTCTCTGTGAGTTCAAAGACAGCCTGATCTACATAGTGAATTCCAGGCTTGCCAATAGAGAGACCCTGTCTCAAAAAAAAACAAAACAAAAAAGCAAAACAAAACAAGACTACCTCTGCATAACTTTGTTACCGCACAGCATGATGTTTTTGTGGTTATATTCCATTGCAGGTATTTACATGTGGGGGCCTGAATGAGTCATGTTATTTACAGTCTCAGGCACTTGAGCTTCAGACCTCACCTCCTCCCAGTGTGGTTCAGGATGGGTGCTCACAGAGTCCAGTTCCCACCATCACGCCTACTACTTGCCGCCAGGCTTCCCCACCTTAATGGACTCTTACTTGGAAACATAAGCTGAGTAAACTCTTCCATGTTGCCTTGAACACGGTGTTTTATCTTATCAACAGAACAGTAATTAACACATCATGTAAACAAAACCTATAGTACAAGCCAGGTGTGGTGGCATAGGCTTCAACATGGACTTCAGCACTCAGGAGGCAGGGGCAGATGGATCTGAGTTCCAGGCCAGACTGGCTTACAGAGTGAGTTCCAGAGATACCCAGAGAAACCCTGTCTAAAACCAAACAAATTATCTATTAAGAAGACTCAGGAAGGGGGGACTGAGAGATGGCTCACAGGTTAAGAGCACTGACTGCTCTTCCAGAGGTTCTGAGTTCAATTCCCAGTAACCACATGGTGGCTCACAACCATCTGTAATGAGATCTGGTGCTCTCTTCTGGTGTGCAGATGTACATGGAAGCAGAATGTTGTATACATAATAAATAAATAAAAAAAAACTAAAAAAAAAAAAAAAAAAGGAAGAGCCAGGATAATTCAGGTAGGCAACTAAAATTTACCAAACAAAAGCCTCAGCAGCTAAGAAGTGTCCCCTTCTCTGTGAAGCCCTGGCTGTCCTTGAACTCAGAGATTCGCCTGCCTCTTGATGGGGAATATTCTTCTATGTATTTGTTTATTTATCTTATTGGTTGATGAATAAAACACTGCTGGCCAATAGGGTAGCAAGACAGGTGGGACTTGGTATGAGGATGATTCTGGGAAGTGTAGGCAGAGAAGAATCAGCATCCCAGGAAGTGACATAGTTGGGCAGAAACTGCCACTAGCTAACCATAGAGGTCTGGAGGTCTGTGCAGATAGGCAGGTAGTGACGTAGCTGGGCACAATCAGAATATAAGCAGGGACAAACAGAAAATCAATTTCTTCTCTGCGGAGATGTAAAAGGCAAAGGAGCTGCAGGTTCAGCATTCCCGGTAAGCCAAGACCACATGGAAATACTTAAATTGATAGAAACGAGTTAAAAATTAAGTCAGAGCTAGCTAATAAGAAACCATAGCCAACAGCCAACAGTTTCATAATTAATACAGTGTCTGTATGCTTCTTTGGGGGCAGAGAAGGGCAGCGGGACCTCAGCGGGGTGTTACAGCCTCTGCCTCTATAGCGCTGGAATTAAAGGTGTGCCTCACAGCTGCCCAGAACTAACAGTTTTTGGTTTTTCAAGACAGGGTTTCTCTTGTGTAACAGTCCTGGCTGTTCTGGAACTCACTCTGTAGACCAGGCTGGCCTCAAGTGCTGGGATTAAAGGTGTGTGCCACCACCGTCCAGCTGTTAAGTTTCTTAACCTTTACTTTTTTTTAAAGTTAAGAGTTTTAGTTTGTATTGGTTTGCTAGCTTAGGGTATGAGTGGACTTTGAAGGGGTAGGGTCTAGTGGAAGGCGTGTGGGAGCAGGAATGTACTTGAAGGGACACTGGGCACCAGCTCCTTGCCCCACTTCTCTCTCAGTGACATATGTTAAGCCACTTTGCTATTCGTGTAGTTCTCACCAAGACATACTGTGCACAGGCCCCAACCAATGGCAATCCACTGTGAATGAAAAGTATGTTTTTTCTCATGTATTTGTCACAGTTATAAAGTGCTAACATCATCAAGTGAGTAAGAGGCAATTATCTGTAGTCATTCTACCCACAAAAGAATGAACAGAATCACCACTTAAAACTTTGCTGACTCTAAAACTGCCACATTGGATGAAGAAATACAATTTTATGCACATGAAGAATCGGGGTGGGGGGAACACCAAGGTTGAATAGTGACATAGAAAGTACACCAGGAAAGTGTTATCTGCAGAACTTGTAGGATGAAATTGAATTTACCTCTGATAAAGCTGAAGAAAAGTGATTGCAGTTTTTGTGCATCAAATGATAGGCATTGCCTTTATACTCTTTTCCCAGTTCTTCTACAATTTTTTCTATATCATCTTCTAAAAAGTCCGTACTCCCTAAAACAACAGCTTCTCTTAAAGAACAAAAAACAAAATAAACAAAGCAGTTTCGATCAGGTCATTTATAATAAGCATTATTAAATACTTGCTTATTTTCAGGTATATCGCAATAAATAAGTCAGGTCTAACATTCAGACTAAAGGTAAATGAGATACTTAGAAATTTCAATGATTTATAGTTTCTATTTTGCTTTATGAAACATATTCATTAACAGAGAATCAGATTTAAGCTAAAAATACCCCTGCTAAATACACACAGCAAAGAGCCATGAAACCTGACTAAATTTTAAAATATATTATCCAAAATATCAAATAAAAACACTTCAATATATTTCCTGGAAAATGTAACAGATATTACTCAACAAAAGGCAGAATTTTAGATATAAGCTAGTTGTAAAAGACAGTTAAAAATTATTAGAAAATCATTTTACCAGGCATAAATGGAAATTTAGGGGCATCAGAGCTGAGTTAGGAGAGCTATGTACTCAGAAGTGTTGTAACCCTGTTCTGAATTTATCTGTTCTATTCTCGGCACATTAACTATTACAGACCCAGAGGTTTCTTTGGAGCTTCTTGAAATGAAGACTCTAAATATCATGTTAGATGTAACAAGTAAGGAATAAAAAGACTGATTAACACAGGGAAGGGTCCAGAGACACCGCTTGGTTTAGAGCTACTGCTGCATTGATGTTATCAGCAACACTTTCCAGCTTAATCAGTTATTCTGAATTTACAAGTGTTTCTTTGAGAAAACGAAGAGATTTTTATATTAGGTCACAGTAAAAAAAATTCCACTCTGTCCACTTTCCCTCTGAGTTTCCTGAGGCAGAATGTAAGATAAGCAAAGACAACTATATTTGAGAAGCAGACAGAAAGCAACTTAGAGACACCCTGAACAAAAAGCAAAGACAGGTTATTTCACACATTATTTGATTTCCCATCCTTACGTTAACAACTCAATTCAATTTAAATTAAAAATAAAGTGTCAGCCACTAAGCCAAAATTTAAAACTATTTTAACTTTTTAGATTTTTAATCTACAGGATGAATTCTTTATGCCTGAAAACAAGCTCCGACACCTTAAACAGTGCAGAAGAAATTACCCTCCCTACTTACTTAAATTTAAATGTTTCTCCTAGTTCAGAAGCATTTCCTGGGGAAATTTCAAATATTCCAGAAAAAGGATAAGGATGGCCTCCATAAGCAAATTCTGAAAAGATAAAAGTCAAAATTTTTAGTATGTGTTGCATGAAATGTGTTCAGAATGCTGAAGCAGCTTTTAAAATACCTTTACAAGGTCCTGTTTGGGGATTACCAGTACAGAACACCTGTCTTTAAAGGCTGAAATGGTAAGAGTCACAGATACTCCAAAACTGCTCTGTGACTGCTCTGTAGATTGCTCTGCACCTACTCCAGCAGGAGACTGACCAGTATTCAAAAGGGATCAGTCTCTGTGGCACCAGCATACCATGAGGCCAGCAGCTCTGGACTTGGTTGCTTTTAAAGCTTGCACTTCCCTGGAGAAACTGTCTAATGAGAATGAGTTTTCATGTTCCCCCAGAGGAGCTGCTTTGTTTTAGTGTGCTTTGCCATCGTGCTGCAGGCATCCACACCTTCCCGAAGACTCCTGATTGACACTGGATTAGGAGTGAACACACCACTGTACTACGCATGGGGACATATGTCTGTAACCTTAGCACTCGGGGGAGGTGGATCTTGAGTTTTAGACTGGGCTATTTCTAGTGAGTTCCAGGCAGGTCTGAACTATATATGAACTGAGATCCTGTCTGAAACAAACATCAAACCTAAAACACCGTAAAATGACAACATTAAACACACAGCCACCCTCATGGTCTTCAGAGCATCTCTTGTAGCTAGGAGGGTACTATTTGTACATTCTCCTAATACACGCATTTCCAGCTATATGTTCTCATCTACAACAAAAATGCAGACAGCTTCAAGTTAGGAAAGAACCACAACTTCTGGCTTCAATTCTGGCATCTCATTTAGATATTAAGTGGTAAAGGCTTGGTAGATATAAGCAATCTCAAAAAAATGCTTAAGTAAGTTAGTCCTTAAGTCCTGATCACTTAAGATTTACTAAATAACTAGGCATGGTGATGCATGCCTATAATCTTAGTGCTAGAGACGTGGAGGCAGGAGGATCACTATAAGCTTGAGGGAAGCTTGGTCTACATTATGAGTTCCAGATTAGTCAGGGCTACATCTCTGTCTCAAAATGATTAAATAAATGAACATATTTGTTAAATATACAGTCGTAAGTTTTGAAACAAAGCACAGGAAAGAACATGGTAGCTGAGGTTTAGTTTTTCTCATTTAAATTTTATTTGGATGTGTTTGTATCTAGGTATATATGCTACCATGTATGCACAGGTGCCTGCAGGGGCCACAAGAAGACAACAGATTCCCTGGAGATAGAGACACAGTTAGGTACTAACTCTAGTCTCCCTATATCCACACCCAACAGAACTGAAACTGAGCTCCAAGGTTATCTTTTCATTCACAGATTCTGTAGAAATTTTTGAAAAATAATGTAGATGAGGGTGTTTAACACTTTAATTTTGAAATATAAACTTTTTTTTCTTTTTGGTTTTTTGAGACAGGGTTTCTCTGTGTAGTTTTGGAGCCTATCCTGGCACTCGCTCTGGAGACCAGGCTGGCCTCAAACTCACAGAGATTCACCTGTCTCTGCCTCCCAAGTGCTGGGATTAAAGGTGTGTGCCACCAATGCCCGGCTGAAATATAAACACTTTTTAACAAAGAAAGGATTTGATTAGTTACCCTAAACTGACCTGATTTAACTCTGAAGCCCAAGCTAGCTTTAAACTCATAATTCTCCAGTCTCTGCTCCCCAACTGCTGACATTAGAGGTGTCCACTTCCTAAGTTTTTCTTTGTCTATCTGGTCTTGAGGTAGGGTCTCATTCTGGCCTTAAACTCAACAATACTCTTATTTAGCTTTCTAAGAACTGGGATACAACCATATACCACTATGACCTGCTCCTCTTTAAGATTCAGTAAATCGTTCTATATAATTTATTTTTTTAAATATTGTATATATCAAGATTGGATTTGGTCAAAATTCATTGTTTTGGTTTTTTTGAGACAGGGCTTCTCTGTGTAGCCCTGGTTATCTTGGAACTTACTCTGTAGACAAGGCTGGCCTTGAACTTAGAGATCCACCTGCCTCTGCCTCCCAAATGCTGGAACTAAAGGGAAGTGCTGCCACCACCACCTGGTTTCATACTTGGATCTTTAAATTTTTATTTGTTTATTTATATGTTATGTATGAGTGCTCTGCATGTATACCTGCACACCACAAGAGGGCATCAGATCCTATTATAGATGATCGTAAGCCATCTCTCCAGACTCAGATGGATTCTAACCTTCTTAGGTATAGTAATGGAAGACACAGGTCCTTTTAGTTTTTATTTTTTTTTTTTTGTACAAGAAACCATTACAATTTCTCTGAGTTTCCACGAACATGCTTTGAGTCATGCTTTTGTTCTTAAATTATTTTATGAAGGGCAGTAAAAATTGTGCAGGTAATAGAGCACTGGACTAGCATATAAGAATATTCGGGCTCAAATTCTAGTTCTGTTAGTTATTAGCAGTGTGAATGGTGACAGGTTAGAGCCTTAATTTCTTTTTATAAAAGAAAAACGCCACATTCTCTTACCTTACAGTGTGATCATATGGTTCCAAAGTTCACAGTACTATGGAAACCGTAACACACTATTCAAATTTAACCAAAAAGGGGTAACACACTTAGGCAAAAGGCCAGAGAGGACACCCATGGCTTCTAGTCCCATCCACTGCATTAATCATTGAAAATTTCAGCTGAAACTCCTCAATGTTTCTTGGGGTTAGCAAGTAAAGCTTAAATGACAAATCTTTATAGCCAAGATTTAATATGCTAAATTGTAGCTAGAAGCAACTAAAAAAAAAAAGGAGGGCGGGGCGGCTAGGTACATAGCCCAGAGGTACAGTACCTGCTTAGTAAGTCTGAGGCCTTGGATTCAATTATCAGCACCTGTCCACCCAAACACAAAGGCAGCAGAAACATCATACTGAAATATTTAAGTAAGTGGAGTTTTTCGTTTAAATTAGTGAATAGGTATGCAGGCAGTTTACCCTGGGTAAATTGGATAATGTATTCTAGTAGGTTACAAAGACTGCCCAGCTTATGTAAATATATGAGCTTCTGCTAAAAGGCAAGCTTCTAATTCATGCTTATGTATCACTCTAACTGAGCAAAATGCTAGGTGTTACTAAAGGCAAGATTGCTTAGCATATTCTTTATTGATACAGGCCTGCAAAATCCAATGTTTTACTGAAACTCTGTAAAGAAATTGGTATTTCAAATTTGACACTTTCTATCCTAACTAAAATGATTATTTTTGTTATGTAGTTAACTTTTCAAAGTGTAAAAGTTTCTTAAAAACTCTTATACATATTAGAGAAAAACAATCATGGTTTAACAACTTCAGAAAGAAGGGCTCGGTTTTTTGAGACAGGGTTTCACTTGTAGCGCTGGTTGTCCTGGAACTCACTCTGTAGACCAGGATGGCTTCGAACTCATAGAAATCTGTCTGCCTCTGTCTCCTGAGTACTGGGATAAAAGGTGCTTGTCACCAAACCTGGCTAAGAAAATGTTTTAGAAGACAAAGTAATTAGAATAAAAAGATAATGAATGTACCCTCTTATATTCTACCACAGACATTTTTTCAAAGCACAGTATAAATAGATGTCCAAGGTTTATTCTACTTTCTGCAATAACATATGTAAGTCACTTAAAAGAAAAGGGACAAAGAAAAAGACCTAACATTATGATTCTGTATTTTCTTTAATTGGCAGAATCTTCAGAAAACATATTTATAAACTGTGTTTACACATACCTCTGCCATAGACTTCAATTCCAGAATGAAAAACTCCAATTCCAATAGATGAGGTGTATTCATTCATCCAGTACTAAGGAGAGAAAAAACAATTTTTGAATATCCATTCATTTACAGTCCAATTCTACAGGACAGACAGAGTGCAAACCTAGTTCTTGCTGTTTTCCCTTACAATGCTGAAACTCAGAGTAGCCTAATCTGCTCTCCCACTTCCAATCTGGAAGGCCTTCCTGTATCTAGACAAATGTTTCAACTTAAGTCCAGCACACTATTTAAGGGTTAGCACATAATACATAACATTTAAATAAAGTAAAATCTAAATTTGGATCAGGTTGGTAACAAAAATTGACATAAAAGTGCCATTAGTGATTAAAACAGCACACATAGAAGGGGTCATGGTGGCACACTCCTTAAATCCCAGCACTTGAGAGGAGAGGCAGGTGGGGTTCAAAGCCAGCCTGGTCTACAGAGTGAGTTCCAGGCTAGCCAGAGCTACACAGTGAGTCCCTATCCCCAAAACAAAACAACCAAACAAAAGCACCACATATAGATATGCATATCTAGCTAGTTTCCCATCTATCCTTAACTGTGTAAAGGTGTGTTACATTTGTTCGTGCTGTATGTATTTGTTTAACAAAGTAAGGATGTGTGTTTAATTATATAATGATGTGTTGCATCTGTTTCACCTTGCCTGCCTAAGGCACCTGATTGGTCTAATAAAAAGCTAAATGGCCAATACTATGCAGGAGAGGATAGATAGGGCTGGCAGGGTGAGAGAACAAAAAGAATGAGAGGAGAAAATGAGGGAGAAAGAGAGTGACATACCTGGGACCAGAAGCCAGGCAGCCGCCAATCAGACACAAGCAGTGGAAGAAAGATACACAGAAGGAAGAAAGGTAAAAAGCCCCAGGCAAAGGTAGATAAAGAGAAACAATTAATTTAGAGTTAAAAGAGCTAGCCAGACACAAGCCTAAGCTAGGTGGAGCATTCATAACTAATAAGACGTCTAGGTGTTGGTGGCGCACACCTTTAATCCCAGCAGTTGGGAGGCAGAGGCAGGTGGATCTCTGTGAGTTTGAGGCCAGCTTGGTCTACAGAGCGAGTCCCAGGACAGGCTCTAAAGCAACCGAGAAACCCTGTCTCGAGGAACAAAACCCAAAAGATCTCTGTGTCATGATTTGGGAGCTGGTTGGTGGTCCTAAACAAAAAGCCTGTTACAATTTAGTATATACCTGTTCATGTGTACATGCATGCATGCCAAGATCAGATGTCAACACTGTCTTTCTCAGTTGCTTCTCCATTTTATTTTATTCAATTCTATTTTAAGACAGGGGTCTCTCACTCAACCTACAGTGTACTGACTGGACAAGCAAGCTCTGGACATGTGCTTGTCTCTATCTTCTTGGCACTGGAGTCAGACAGACATGACTCCTGGGTTTTCCCTTGGGTGTTGGGGATTCCAGTTCAGGTCCTCATGACGTGCAGCACGCGCTTTATCCCCTGAGCCACTGTGGTGGCTACTTGAGAGGATGGAGCCTCAATTAAGAAAATGCCTCAATAAGATCAGGCTATAGGCAGGCCTGTAGAGCATTCTCTTAGTGACTGATGTGAAGGGTCCAGACTATTGTGCATGGTACCATCCCTGGGCTGGTGGTCCTATATTAGGTAACAAAGCAGGCTGAGCAAGCTATGAGCAAGCTAGTAGCACACTGCCCCCCCCATGGCCTTTGCATCAGCTCCTGCCACCAGTGCCAATCCACTTCCCCAGCCACTATTAATTTTGTTTTTGTTTTTGTTTTTTTGGGCCAGGGTTTCTCTGTGTAGCTTTGGAGCCTATCCTGGCACTCACTCTGGAGACCAGGCTGGCCTCAAACTCACAGAGATCCGCCTGCCTCTGCCTCCCGAGTGCTGGGATTAAAGGTGTGTGCCACCAACATCCGGCCCACTATTAATTTTTTGAGACAAGTCTTGCTATCTAATCCAGGCTGCCCTTAAGACCTTCCCACTTTAACACCGAGTGCTGGGATTACAGGTTCATACTACTATATCAGCTCTTTTTCTAAATTTAGTCAAGTTTTAGCTGTGGCTTTACATCCCTTGCTAGAAAACATACATTGTCACAGGCTACTAGAAAAAGCATAAATGGACATGTCATTCCCCCCCTAAATTATATTTAGAAGTAAAAATGAAACAATAAGAAATATTTGGCAACAAGCAAGGTATCTTCCAGTGGTGGTCTGAATGAGAATTGCCCCCACCCCACCCCCACCCCCATTGGTGGAACTACTTGAGATGGATTAGGAGGCGTGGCTTTGTTAGAAACAGTGCCCTGGAGGTAGGCTTTGAGGTTTCAAAAGGCTGGTGGGATTCCCAGTGCTCTCTCTGCCTCCTACCTGTAGTTCAAGATGTGAACTCTTAGCTCCTCTAGCCAGCATGCTTCTGAAACTTTAAGTCCAATTAAATGTTTGTTTGTTTTTAGTAAGTTAGCTTTGCCATTATCACAACAAAGAAAACTAGTATACTTCCCAATTAAGTATCGAAATCCTCAATACAGCTGAGGAGGTATCTGAGCTGTAGAATACCAGCTCATGTACCAGGCCCTGTGTTTGGATCCCAACACTGAAAAATTGATCACAACAATACAGGATATAGCAAAAATATCCTGAAACATGTTTACGTATACATATAAAAAGCTCCTATTTGACAAAGGTAGTATTTAAAACCAATTATTAACAATGGGTAATTATTAAACTAGGTATGATGGTGAGTGCCAATAATCTCAGCATTTGGGAGACTGAGGCAGAGGGTGGTGAATTTAAAACTAGAATGGGTGACACCTTAATACCCTCTCAAAAATGCAAAAAGGAAGGAAAGAATGTATTCATCTAGGGGTGGGCAGGAGACAGAGGTGAGGGCAGCAGGGAAGGTAATGAATGAGAAGTATGATGAGACCCGTGAGGACACCAGATGAAACTCATCACTTTATATAGTAATCTCACAGACAGCGAGAGAGAGAAAACTCTAAAAAGCAAAGAACATCTCTGTCCCCGCCCTCTTGTCAAGACAAGTTTTCTCTGTGCAGCCCTAGCTGGCCTCAAACTCAGGGATCTGCCTACCTCTACCTTCTGAGTGCTGAGATTAAAAGTGTGCATCTTTTAAGAGGATAGTTACTAAAATATATTGGCAAAAACCTGACAAATAAAAACTATGCATCCAAAAATTCTAGTGTGTCTAAAGGTTAGAAGTCAGGAATGGTAATGCATGCCTCTAATACTAGCACAAAGAGGGCTGACACTAGAGGACTGCAAAGTTGAGACCAGGCTGAGCTACATAATAAGTGTGATATCAAGACTGGCTATAAAACAAGACCTTGTCTTAAGTTCACTTTTCTCAGCTAATTTCTTTTCTTTTAAGTAAACCAAAACATCTTTTTTTTTGGGGGGGGGGCGGTGTTGACACAGGTTTCTCTATGGTTTTGGAGGCTGTCCTGGAACTAGCTCAGGCTGGTCTCGAATTCACAGAGATTCATGCCTGCCTCCCGAGTGCTGGGACTGAAGGCATGCACCACTACTACCACCTGGCTAAACCAAAACATTTTGGTTGAATTTAGGCTTGAACTTACAGAAGGAGAAAATCAACACCCACACCCACACCCACTCACTCAAAAATTTGTAACTTTCAATTAGTGAGCTGGCTTAGAGGGTAAAGGTGCTTACTGCCGAGTCTAATGACCTTAGTGCAATCCCTAGGACCCACATGGTAGGAAGAAAACTGGCTCCTGCAAGCTGTCCTCTGACCTCCACATGTGTACCAAGGCACACAGACACACACAAATAAATGTTGTAGATAATTTTGTCATTAAAGAATTGTGTATACTTAAGTAATATTGGAAAATTAAAAGAACACATAGGGAGAAAATTGCAATAAATATAACAAAGTTTAATATGAGATTGTGAATATCCTCTGTAAGAACAATACAACTGGATGGCCTTGCCCCCCCAACGATAGGCGGGACACACACAGGAAAACTTGCTAAGTCATCGCCACAGCACCCCCAGTGCACATGTGCAACCTTCCCTTTAAAAGGTCCAGCCTTCCATCTTTCTCTCTCTCTTTGGCTCCTCTCGGGTTGGCTGACAAGCCAGCTCCATCTCCCCCCCTTTCAGGTAAATAAACTGCACGTGGGTTGTTCATCAGTTGTTCCTTTCTTTATATCAGCAGCTGCAGCTTAAACAGAAGAATAACATCCTCTCTACCCAAATCTACTGGGCTGCCACTTTGTACAACCAGAAGTTGGAAGGCAAGAACATGAGGGATACAATTTAACAAATAAACATAATTTGGGAAGGAGGGGAACATATGTGCAGGTAATAAGGGACTCCATAAAACATTTACCCAAATATATTTATCCTTACAGACAAATAAAAGCTCAGAACAGCCAGGTATAATTAGAAAAGAATCCCCCAAAGATATGTAAGTAACTACAGAAACAATTTGTAGTCAACCAACGGGAACTAATAATCTCACTAGTAAACAGGAAAATACTATATTCTATTTTTTTCTACTATGATTGTCAATACTTTTTTTTTTTTTTTTATTGGAGACAGGGCTTCCCTGTGGCTTTGGAGGCTGTCTTGGAACTAGCTCTTGTAGACCAGGCTGGTCTCGAACTCAGAGATCCACCTGCCTCTGCCTCCCGAATGCTGGGATTAAAGGCGTGTGCCACCAACGCCCAGCTTCCTCTTCAAATAAAATAACATTTGGCACCCAACGGTTTAGGCTCTCCCTGAAACCTCTCCTGCCAGGGGCACGGGAAATTTCGGGGATCCTAAAATCTGAACTCATAACCCACTTTCCATCTCGGTTTTTCCTGGTACTTCCTCCTGCCTACAGTGGCCTGAGATGCCTGGACTCTACATTTCAACTCGCCGCTTTTCCAACTAACCATCTTTGGAATCCACTCATCTGTCTGTTTGCTACAATCCGGTAAGATATCCCTTGAATTTCCCGAGGGTCAGGGTTTGGAATCCCGAGCGGTGCTTTTTTGCTTTTTCAGTTCGGACCCTGGGTCCT